AGATCATACATTTCAGAAAACTCGAAATTGCTTGATAGTTCTTTTCTCTCTGGATTATTGAAGTGAATAAAATACATTGCTCAATTTAGTATCATGGTAGTGATAATGAGAATTTTTGACAAGATTGATATAGTATTCTGTTTTTATTTATTGTGTCTCAAAGATTAACGTTTTCTGTAGCATTTTGTAGCAATCAAGCTCAATTCCTGTCTAATCATTCATCTAGTGCTGCTAGAACAAATACCACAAAATGGGTGGCTGTGTTCTTTGGAGAAGCAAGACCAGGGATATTTATATGTATCTATAAAGATATTTCTATCAAGAAAGTGGCTTACAGTTATAGAAGCAGGTAAGTCCAGTTCAGTTCAAGTCCATGGGTCGGATGTTAAGCTGGAGGCTTTTCTGACTTGTGTAGCTGCCAAGGCTAAGCAATCGAGAAGCAGAAAGCTGAATCAAGAAGCAGACAGACCACTGGTTGGTGGAAGCAGAGATGGTCGACAGGCATTGTGGTAGGCTGTTGATAGCTCACAGAGTTGGTGAGTTGATGAGCCAGAGGCAGGATCTGAACCAGAAATAAGCAAGTTCAGTTCCCCACAGTGATGACTAAAATTAAGAGTAGGCTACACTTTCAAGGAAACTTCTTTTCAATTGTACCAGGGTTGTGACCAGATTAAAGAGGCTTTATATGCATATATATGTGTGTGTGTGTGTACACATACACAAAATGTATGTTTGTATACACATAGACACATTTATTGGCATTATATTTTAAGATGCTTGTTCACATAAAACATTGAAGTCACTTTATTCAATTCAGTTAATGTATTTATTTTTATGTGGTCAAAGTTTAATGAGTGCTGACTGTTTTATATACTTGGTTTCCATGTATAGAAAATGGATATTTAAAGTTAAATGTTTAGCATTGACTTGCATAAGGTTGCTATGAGTGGGATCCAATTGGACTATAACAATACAACAGCAAACATTCCTAATTAATCTTTGCCTCTACATACATTTTTAGTACCCCCAGCATTTTTTACATAGCATTTTTCACATGCCACCATTATTGGTTTAGATATTCATCTTTGATTAGATTGCAAATACTTATTGAGCAGCATGTCTTAATTGTTTTATTTCCTCAGTACCCATCATGAATTCTTTGGTTCATAGTAAGCCTTTGAGACTGAGTATAAATGTTGTTGCAAAGGCTTGGAGAATTTGGGAAGCACAGGCCTTGGTGAGAAAAATGTGTGTGTTAGGATTGATTCCAGGCTATTGGACATCTGAAAGGGTGGAATAAAAATAAAATTGAAAGAATTTTTTTGGATAATATTTCACAGCCTCAGTTTGCCTAGGTCAAAAGTGATCAAAATCTTACACTCATCTAGTTTAGAACTAATTTCACCGTGTTCCGAAAGCCATATTTAGAATTTGTTTAGCATCCGTTTGTTTTGTAACTGTCAATATTTATGGAGGGGGTACAGTAGCATAAATTAAAATGACCCGGCATCCTAAAGGTACATACATTTAAGTTCTTACATTCAAGTTTATAATATAGTTTATGAGCTACTTTTCACTAACAAAGCCACTAAGCTTTTTTTACATTGAATTATGCCAGGTATGATGGTGGGAATTTGGACTATCACTTACTCAAAGTAATCCACTAAGTGAATTACATCCAGCTAATTAACTGTCTTGTGATGGTCACAATACCTGTTTATTCAGCAGGTACAGTGAACCCTCGTTTATCGCGGTTAATCGGTTCTAGACCCTACCGTGATAAATGAAATTCCGCGAAGTAGGATTCCTTATTTG